AATTAGCTCTGCCTAGCGGTTGGGTGCCCCTGGAGCCAGCCAGCCTGCCTGGGGGGGGGGGGGGGGGGTTTTCGTTGTATTCTTAAAAACTGGAGGCATCGCCTTGCGGGACATCCCATGATGTGCCGCCGTGTAAGAAGGGATGGACGTTGTGACCGTTCTGCTCTCCCGATGCTTTAGTGCCCCCCCCTTTACATAAAGTCATTATCATGCTGTGTAAGAAGGGATGGACGTTGTGGCCGTTCTGCTCTCCCGGTGCTTTAGTGCCCCCCCCCTTTACATAAAGTCATTATCATGCTTTAGAAATGCCTCTTCGTCTGGGACATTGGAAGCTGGAGAATTCCCACGGCTTTAATGCTGGCAGCTGAAGGTGCCAGCAGGATTCGAACATGTCCCTTTGTCGTCCTGTGAGCGCGCGCGCTCGGGGGTGTGCTGGTTTTTCGGGTCTCCACTTCATCAGACTTTCTTTGTCTTGGCACCTTAAAGACTGACTGTTATATTTTAATCTGAACTTTCGTAGAGAAGCCCACTTGCTCAGTTGAAAAGTGGAGTCCCTTCTCAAGCGGAGGCTTCTTCAAAGCAGAATGTTTTGAGGATTCCTATGCTTCATGACGGCTGCCGGATTCTGGGAGTTGTGTTATGAAAAGCTACATTTCCCTCCCAACCTCTGTTTTTTTAGTCAGAATTAATTCCCTACTCTGCTTTTTGCAAACAGGTCTGCTCACTTCATCTGGGCTCAGACTCGACTTGTACCCATTCATAGCTATGGCTAGAAGAAGACTGCTCTGCCCGTTTCCAGCAATATGGGTCCAATGGAAGGTCACTGGCAATTTGTATAGCTCTTCTCATGGCTTCTGGCATGGCTTGTTTTTGCAAGCCACAGATGCTATTTCAAGCACCAGGGTTTTTTTGGACAACAGCAGAAAATTAACATTGGCACCCTGGTACTCCCATGCCATTCAACTCTGTGTCATGTTCCTTGCAGGGTGACAATCAGCTTTGCGAACTTCCTCTTTTGCATAGAGTTCCGAGCATAACTCTGGAAAATTCTGGGTGTCAGAACAGAAAAATATTTTCTGAGCTCTGAAAAAAATATATTGGGGGGGGCACTCCTGGGAATTGGATGTTGTAAAAAAAAAGATCTCATGTAACATTATGGAGATGGGGCAGTCAGTAAGGGACAGGAAAAAATATTCATGCTGGCTACAACCATCTGAAGGCCAGCGAGCAGGTCTACTTGCTGACTGAAGGATTCTGGGAATTGTAACCCAAAAAGTACTTTTTCCAAGTTCTGCTTTAATCCCTAGATAAATCAGAAGCAACTTGACAACACATAACAAATACTAAGGCATTCAATCAGTAGTTACTAGGAATGAGAATACATTTTGTGGCTACACAAGGGCATGTTAATTTATTTTCATGTGCCCCCACAATCCAGAGCCTGGGAAAGGTAGCTGAGCTGAGAGTGAGAACAGACTGCAGCTATATTGATACCCAACTTGCAGTACGTATGGCATTAAAAAGGCAGGGCTTTCATGTTGTAGTACCCAGACTACGTGCTAAGTAGCCCACTGCCCTCATGGATCAGTCAGTAAAACCCAGGGAAGGAAAATAATGTAACACAGGAGACAATGTGAGTCATTTCAGGGCTTAGAGAAGTCGTTTTGGGGGACTGTAACATGCAGTATCCCCAGTTGCTGACTATGCTGACTGAAAGTTTTTAGAACATGTGCTCCCCCCCCCCAAAAAAAAGGTAACTTTTCCAAGGTCTCTCATTGTTCTTGTTGTCTTTAAGTTTTGGCCTAGAATTATAACTAATCACAGGATCAACATGGAGCCCAAAGCTCTTAATATGGCTTGATGAGTAAAGGGTTCACTGTTTCCTACAACTACATACTTCCTCTGTGCCAAAGCACCTGCTGGAACATCAAATCCAGATTTGTTAGGATGGAGGGCCATCAGAAGACCCTTCTGATTCCTCCTGACCAGGTACATCTCTGTCTCTGTCTTTTAATCTCTCTCTCTCTCTCATTCTCTCTGTTCTTCAATGTATGTGGAGAAACACAGAGAGGGGGTGGGAAGGATAGGCACCCAACCATATTAGGGCATTTTTGGAAAGCCCTCTCCTCTTTTTGAAGCCTGGTGAATAGCAGTGGTTTTCCAGGTCTGTTCTCAGCCACATTCCTTCCTAGGCTATGCTGCATGACAATCTTCTTTCCCCATCTAGATCTCTCCTTCTAGATGCATTGGACTACATCACCCCTGCCAGCATGCATTTGGATGGCTGAACCCTGGCACAGTGAAACCCTGTAGGCACCCACCTTGTGCCTTATTACAGTGGTTCCCAGCCTTGTGTAATCCAGGTGTTCCTGGACTGCATCTCCCAGAACCCTAGGCAGTAGGTGGTGAAAGCTTCTGGGGACTGCAATCCAAGAACACCTAGATTACCCAGGGTTGGAAACCACTGTCCTATTAGTTCTACATTATATAAGAGAGTCCAGAAAATTATGGAAACTCCCACAATGCCCCAGAAAGCATGTGTTTTCCACATCTTTAAGGGCTTTAGGCTACAAACTGGCTTGGTGGCGAGGGGATCTGCAATATTAAAAAGCGAGTTTTCCCAAGTTCTGCCGGATATTGCACATTATTTTGCTTCTCATACTTGGCAGCCTCTCGCTATATATATATCTGGGAACATGAGGTCACTCTTGGAAGATGATGAATCACACAGCTGCCATGTTGGGAGCTGAGGAGGATCCAAAAGGAGCCCAGCACATCAAGATGGCGTGCCCATCACTGTGAAGGATTCTCAGAGCATTGTATTGCAGCAGAACCTGACAACGTCTGGGCTCTGTTCAGTACTTTCTTTAGCCAGATGGTTAACCCAGCCTAGAAAACAGGTGCCTGTTGTGGTGGTAGGAGCTGGAAAACAAAATGCTCACCATAGCAAAGTTTCGTGACTTTGCCAACCACAAAACTTTCAGTATCGGTATATTGTTACGAAGTCTCCGCAATAACAAAACAAATCAGCATTTGAACCCCAGTGCAGGAATTGGAAATATTATTTTTGGGGACTGCAACTCCCAGAATCCATGCGGGTTGCTGGATTCAAGGAATTGTAAAACAAAACAAACAAAAACTCATCTTCCTTTCCAAACCAGTCTTTGCATCAAACACTGAATTGGGGTTATTAAAAAATAAATAAATAAGACAGTCAAGCTGTGTGTACTGACGGTACACAGGTATATTATTGCAGTGTATCCCATGATATGGAATTTAAAATGTATAAAAGCTGAGGGGGATATGTATTAAAGAGTACTGTGTAGCCTTCTAGGGGGTGTAAGAATTGTGGCGGTACAAGATAGTATGCTACCTTGAGGGCAAAGTGAAGGAGTGA